GCTGCAGCATGTGGTCAAACTCCCGTTTAGCAATAGCTAGGCGGTCTCCGCACAGGCGGCGTGGTCGAGCGGCTGCCGGTGGACCCCGGGTGACGATGTGGTGTGTCACCGTATGTTTAGGCGGCTGAGTGAGGTTGCACGGTTTAGTTAACTCCGGGAAACTCGCTAAGATTTTTTCGAACGGTGAGGAAGGTATCAGCATGCGGATGGCCATTGAAGCGATGTCGGACAGGACTCCCGAGACGGAGAGACGAGTCTTACCATCTATGAGGCGGCGCCGCCGCACGCTGACGTCCAAATCGAAGTATGAGAGGAAGTCCGAGCCGATGATCGGTTGAACCACGTCTGCGATGACGAAAACCAACCGGAAAATGCAGCGAAGGCCGAAGTCGAGGGTGAGAGATCGGAGCCCATACGTTGCTATAGACGAGGCGTTGGCAGCACGAAGCACTTGCCCCTGTGACTTTGAACGATCAGCCTTAGTCGGGGGCACAACGCTAATTTGCGCGCCCGTATCTATAAGGAACCTGGCGCCCGATAGCTGGTCCGTGACCATGAAAAGGCGGCTGGGACGAGAAGGGAGATCACACGCCGCCGTCAGTGATCCCGGCAGCCGTTTCCCTGCCACGAACATGGGGGTGTACACTTCGTGGCTCGGTGTCGGAAACGCCGATGGTACCAGCAGAGGGGTGGAGGGCTGGGACTCCGAGCATCTCGTGTGCGTGGAAGAGCTCGACGACCGGAACGAGGTGAACGAGTCTCCTGCAGGGGGCTCCGGAGTGCGGCAATGGAGGCATCGAGTTCGTCGATGCGGGCCTCAAGGCGCGAAATCGCTGTGTCTGCTGATGGTAAGACAGCGTTGACAGATGGGGAGGTCGCTTCATGAACCTGATCGGCGAGCTCCGCCAGGCGGTCGAGATTGACGTCGCCGGCCGCCGCGAGGACGAGGCGGATTGGCTGAGAAAGGCGTTGGAGGAAGAGCTCGCGAAGCAACGCTGAGTGGGCAGAGACGTCGTGTTTCCCAAGAAGCTGTCGCATTCGGCGCAGTAGTTGGGAGGGGCGCCTGTCGCCAAGGTCCCCCTCTGCAAGGAGCTGCTGTAGGCGGACGCGTTCCGAAGGCATGAATCGTTCCAGCACCTTGGTTTTAAGGTGCTGATATGGCGTAGTGTCCGAGGGGTTGGAGAGGATGTCGGAGAGCTCGCTGGCAACGTCAGGAGGAAGGACGGAGGCTACGTGGTAGTAGCGTGTCGTTTCCGAGGCGATGCGGTACAGGGAGAATCGCGCCTCGACCTGATGAAACCAAACTTGCGGGTCCTGTGGCCAGAAAGATGGGAGACGCAGTTGCACGGCCGAGAAGTGCCGGGCAAGGGCCTTCACACTTCTGAAGAGCATCAGGAACAATTCTCATTCAGTGTGTTTTGTGAATGCCACTCAGTATGACCACTTAGCTAGGTTTTCTGCTATTTTCATCAATCATATGGGTTCTATTATTAATGCTGCGTCAGTTAGGGACTCTACTTCCTCAAGAGCCGAACAGTTGGCTGTAGCTTTTGCCCTTTGGATGACAGTAGATCGCAAATCTCAACTGACTCAAGGTCAACAGTCAAGGCTTTCGCCTCTCCTTCCGTCTGTACTGAAGTATTCAAGCTACTTGAAAATAGGACACTTTCTCCACAAACGAATACGTGGTTTCCTGCAAATCTCGAACCCCCACTGGACTCTCAAGAAAACCTGAATGACACTCCTCACTTCTGGGTACGCGCACTAACCCTCCGTGCTGGGAAGGACGTACGTCTGCAGGTTGGCAGTGAGATGTTCAGAGATGCTTTACTTCAGTGAACTAGCTGAACACTACCAGTTGAGCAGGCGGTCATTTGCTAATCCGCACAACAAGTTCACTAGACCTCAGGCCATCACGTCTGGAATGCTCCAGAACAGGTGCTATTCAAGCCTACTTTTCCTCAGCATAGGTTCCTCAGAGGCTTTTGATTTTACTTCTCCTGATTGCGGTGAGTTAGTGACTTAACACATATGCTCTGGCAGTGCTCCTTGTTACGGGGCCCAAGTCATCTCACAGAAGAAGATTGGTACTCTGCCTTACGAAGTTCACAAGTTGCTACCACAACTACGGGCCGTCCAGAGAGCCCACGATGCGACGATGAGGCTAGACCTCCCCGTTCCTACGTGGGAGCGGCCCGCGACGGTGCTCTAAAAAGTAGCGTTTCTCAGGACCCAATACTGTTCTTTGTCTCTCTGTCTGTTTGTCTTTCTCAGGTTCCCAAGAGAAAGGAACATCCTTTTTCAAAATACATGTAAGGGGCTGCGCATTGACTGCGAAACCTTTAACAAGCGGTGAAAATACGAGCACAGGCCGAAGAACGGGCAAATGTCTTTGGAAGAACGTGCAATAGGGAAGATGGTGACAGCGCGTATTTATGGTATCAGGTTGTATACCCGCAACGTGAACAAGATTGCAGCACAGTGACTTTTTGGTGGTCAGAGTGGCATTTTGTAGAGTTCAGTTGAAGACCGGCGATGCAAAGTATTTGCGTAATAGCCTACAAGCGTCACAGGTGACTGGTGAACGTCGGGGAGAAAGCTACGACATTGTTTAGGTAGCAGAGGCTTATGGATCACTTGAAACTCCCCAGCAGACCATTATGCACTAAAATTTTGCTGGCACGTTGCAAAATCCAGCGGCATGACTTTAAACTGGTATAGACCGACAGGTGTAGTTAAGGTGGTCTTCTCCCGACCATTTTTATCAACAGCTATTTGCCGATAGCCTGAACGACGGTTGATAGAATAAAAGTACCGTGCGCCAAGGAGGAAACAAAGGGCGTCGTCTATTCACGGCTAAGGGCAAACGTCTTTCTTGGTGATATTGTTGAGGTGCCCGTAGTCGACGCAGAACCACCAGGTGCTATGTTTCCTTTTTACAAGTACCACGGGCGACCCCAAAGGGCTCGAAGATGGCTAGATGATGTCCCTAGCGAGATTCGTGTAAACTTCCATTTGAATGACGCTGCGCTCAGTCGCCGAGACACGTTGAAGGCGTCGATGAATAGGTTTGCGTCCACGGTGTCAATTCGATGGGTCACCAGAGATGTTTGTCCAAGTTTTAGTGAAACGAAATAAAAAAACGCCACTGTGTGAAGCCAATAAAAGGAGAAGGCCCAGTCTTTGAGAAGGGTCCAGGCCCGGGGCAATATTTTTGTCAAACGAGTCAAGGTGTCGGGCTAGCAGTAGAGCTGCCTGGAGGCGGCTCTGGGGCATCAATGGCCAAGGAAACTGGATCGCTTGCATCTAAAGGCGATATCGTACCCTGCGTGATACCTTTAGAAAGCAATTGTGCGCAGCGTTCGAAAATAAGGATAGGTATGCAAGCGTTGTTCCCACAATTAGTCACAAGAAAGTGAGGTAGAGCTACTCGATGCGTCAGAACCACGTCCAAGGAGGGGATAATCAGGTAGTCGTCCTCACGTACCGGTGTGTCTGCGGTAAATGAGATGTAAGTAACGGTACCTGAATGCAAGCGGACAAACTGTACGACACATAAGCGCGGTGGCGACGCGATAATGAGGTCAGGCATAGCAGGAGCTTCTAACTGTAACAAAGCAGACGAGCAGTGTATCAGGCAGAATGTGTGCTCACAAAGTCGTAGCCTAGTATTAGGGCATGAGGGAACTCCTCCAGAAGACCAAAAAGAGCTGAGTTTTTGTGGTCATCGAAGATCACACACGCAAAATACGTTCGAAGGACGGTAGGTGTACGGCCAGCAGCTACGCGGACAACAGGTATTGAGGCGGGTGTAGGACTTGACGGAGACGATGAGTAAGGTGAGTGCTCATGACTGATGTTTGGGCACCTGTTTTGATGAGTGCTCGAACAGTCACGCCATCTGCTTTTACGTCCAAAATGTTTTGCCGAGTTGCCCGAGAGAACAGAGGATTTTTGAGTTCATAGGTCAATGCGTCATTACCTCCGGGAGCTGCACTGGTCAGTTTTCCGAGGAGGGACGGCGTGGGAAAGGCAAAGAGGAAGGACGTGGCACAGATGTTTGACAATGTCGCTGGGTCAGGGAGGAGGGCGGCGGCTGGGAGCGGTCGTAACGCATGGTCATTGCTCTGGCATTAGGGCTCGGTATGTCCTCATGGATGTGCAAATAGAAGAATCGGGTTTCATCTGAACAATAAAATGACTAAAAGGACAACGGCCGACGATAGCTAAAATAGCTGGAAATGTGGCTGACGCCATGCAGTTGAAACATGTCGGCCTGTCATCACGCGTGCGCCTCTTGTTCGCATCACGGTACGTGCAATACGTCTGTTGTGGCCGGTAGTGTGAAGCAAAGCTAACCGTGGGAGGACTTAGGGCACATACTGGCTGGTTGCCTGCACTTGCCAGTTCTTCATGCAGAACGGCCTCGATTAGTGACACAGTCGGACGCGCTGCTTCGTGAGAACGAGCCTGGGGAGCAGATGGAGTTACTGTTTTGATCCCTCGCCGCACAAGGCGCAGGATGTTTTTGGTACTAGGTGGCGGCTGAACCTCGACGTCTTCGCACGATGACCGGGCGGAATGTGAGGGAGCCGAACAAGTTGGTGCGGGAGTCGTCGGGCTCTTTGTCTTTGAGCTGTCGGTACTCCCTGATAATGTCGTGAATGGTGGAGCAGTCTTTATACACAAGCAAGTGAAAGGCATCGTCACCAATGTCTTCGAGAATTTGGCGGACTTAGTCGGCTTATATAATATATAATATTTATCGTCCGCCGTAGTGCAGCCAAAAACAACCGAGTTGGCGAGAGCAGGCGCTTGTAGTCCTTTATTCCTGCGTCATCTAGATGAGCGGCACATAACAATATTGAACACGTTTCTTCAATTGCGTCAAGGATATATATATATATGTAAATGCAAAATTTTATTTCTATAACACAGCAATAACACAGCACTAGTATGTTATCTGCAAAATATATGATTATGCACCAGTTCTTACTTACCTAGGGCAGAAAGTGCGTACACAAATAAAGCAGCATGCTGAGACATCTCCGTATTGTACTCTGAAAGAAAACGATGAGATACATATACCCATGACTTTCTTAAAGGCTATCGCGTGTCCCCCAAACTACCACTGGCGATCAGAAGGTATCCATATAGACGAATTATTTTCAACACAACTCTTCATTAGAGCCTCGGAAAGTACTCACAGGGCTTTCCGAGGCTCTAACTGCAGGAATCCTAACTCAGGTTTTGAAAGCAATTGTGTCTTAGAGTTCGGACACCGTGGGGGCAACACCTTTAATAAAGTTTCAGCAAAATTGTGATCTTGGGTTTTAAGCTGACCTTCACGTGGTCCGCAGGCCAATTCTTCTCGCCGTGTGAAAAATTAGTGAAACTTTGTTCGCACTTTTCATAGCTTGCCTGTTTTCCCTGAATATATACAACCTTCTTGTGTAAGCTCCGAGACTGAGCCCAATAAAATTACGTTAAACATTGAAACAATTTGTACTGCACACCTTCGAATTGGTGTTTCTTGGAGTCTTTACACAGCTTCCAACACTTCTTCATGTCATAAAGACACTTAGAAAATGCTACAATGGTTAGGGCTGTCAGCTTCTATGTCACGGTGTCTTGAATGATCTCCACGCTCCCAATCTGGTGACCTTTAAGGGTTCTGTCAGGTTAAGCGAGTATGGCACATGAATGGCTAATAATCATAGCGAGGCTGTGCTTGACGAGAAGTTTTGTGGCGTACAGAGCAGTGTGCTGCCTTGCGATGGAGCACGCGAAATACAGCTTCTGCAATTGTGGAATGAACTTATCGTGTATGACAAACGTGGCACCGCAAAAAAAAAACTACCAGCGGTCTGTTGTCACCACACCTTTCTCGAGGCTGGACAGCTGGTGGACAAGCATTAGGCACTTTTGCTCCTTTTTTGTGAATTGTATCGAAAGTACGTATTTCATCTTCCGCTATGGTGCCGTAAACTAATGAACGACTCTTCTTTGCCCCTGGAAGCAAAGAAGCGCGTGCTGATTCCCCATGTCTTTCTGGTCCAGTGTGAGCGAGGGTGACACAACTCCGGCATTCGACTATTGTTTCCCATGTTGCTAGGCAAAATTGGGTGATATTTTGTGGTACTAACGTCGAGACATCTCTAGCATTTGGACTATAATGGTGTAATCTTGCTGAACGATCTCTCTGATCTGAGCGACATTGTTATCATTGCGCGTGGTGTCACGGTACCCCTGCTGATGTGGTCTCCCACCTATGTTCTACCCGTAACTTACCTCTTTTATCACTCGAAAGCTCACGCGATAGTGACTCCTAACCGGAAGCACCAGGAAGAAGGTCACGCGTTAAGCTTGACGCTGTTTGAGGTGGACGCCGATCTCTCCACATTCACTCAGGGTAGGATGCACATATGAACAGAGAAAACGCCTTCTTTCTACACGCAGTGTCATATAAAAGACTACCACAGCAATTAATATAGATTCCTTGGGTTAGTCCTGAATATCGTACTAGGAATTATTTCTAGGGAATAAACTCTATTAGGCTGCAAACTTCTTGAACTAAGGTTATACATATATTGAAAGAAACATATTCTGATGTGCGCAAGCGGTCAATAATACTTACGAGCCCTTCCTAGCGCATCTCCTTGTAGAGCTCTACCACACTGTATACATTCTGCACAGGATGGGAGAAGGGCTAGAGTGCTCACAGCTACCACTAATCTATCGCAGGTTGAAGGAAGGTAGAAAATCTAAAGGGTGTCAAAGTGGTAACAAAACGAAGTACGAGATTGTTATATAGAGAAAAAAGATTAGTAAAAGACTACCACCAGCAACCACCGCCGAGAACGGATCGGGTCAGAGGACATTCATTAAAAACTTAGAAAAAAAGAAACAGAAAAATAAAGTTGTTTTGCAGACAAAAGGTAAATTACAGTAGATCAATTCTTTTACTCTTATTTGTGTGTTGTTTAAACACAGTGTGTTGTTTAAAGAAATCACCTGCGGTGGGGACATTATGACTTTATCGAAAGCCTCAGTCGCATTTTACAATGATGCTCTCATTGAAAATTGAACTTGAATGCATAACAAAAGTGTTCTTTTATCAATTTTTCGAAAGAAAACGTCTGTTCATTAGTATTACATGTTGGGTTCCTCTTCACTTAAAGAAGTCACTAGTTATAAATATTTAGGTGTCACAATTTGCAATGACCTTTCCTGGAACATTCATATTCATAACATACCTGCCTCTGCCTTCAGAAAATTACGCTTTGGTAAATGCAAATTTAAACATGCTCCGTCCTCTGTTGAACTTCTTGCATATTATCACCTAATTCGTTCGAAGCTCAAGTACGCCTGCGTTGCATGGGACCCCTACACACAAAGTAACATAAAAAACATTGAACGAATCCAAAGACAGGCTATCCGATTAGTTTTTAACAGGTTTTGCACTTTCGATTCACCAACTAAACTGATGCAGTAGAATGATATCGCCATTCTTTAATCGCGTCGTGAAAACCTGCGACTTGACTTTTTATCGCACGTACCTAATGATGAACTAGCACTCGATCCGGCAGAATATTTGAGTCGACTATTGACGATGCCTGCTCCCTAACATCAACCAAATGCTCTAATCCCTTATTTCGTCTGAACTGACCAATTCAAATATTCTTTTTCTTTCGCACACCAATAATGATGGGAACAACTAACACACTGTACCATTTGTTTGCAAACTTGTATTGCATGGTATAGGTTGCGTAAAAATATATGCTAAATACTTGAACCATAAACTTTTTACACTAACAAATTGTTTACTTTTCTATTTTGTTTTGCCTACCCTACACAGACCTTGTGTCTGCTGTAGGTGTTAAATATCAAAATGAAAAAATAATATGAACTACTCTTCTCATTGCCTTTTCTCTCGCTTCTTTAGTCTTGCTTCGCCTTGTCTTGATGAGGCTCGTTGTTCGTCAGTATCCGGTACCCGGAATTTCTGTTCTTCTAGGCGTCGAGACTTTATGGTCAGCTGGGTCTAGATTCTCAATGGCATATTTCAATGGGTTTCGATCTAGAGCTGGTAAAACTGGCGTATTTTGTATTTTGAGGTGCTCCTGCTTTTTTGTTAGGCATCATTGGTGGTGTTGTTATCGTCATGTTGAGTTTTGTATTCTCTGAAATATATTTTTTGACCAACTTGGGCATTTTGTGTCTGTGTGCCTTGTTCTTGCCATTTTGTGCATTAATGTTTCATTTCTGCTTGGTTTCATAGTTTCGCAATGCATGCGTCTTCTTTCAGTGCCCGTGGGAAGTGAAAGCCGAGGTATCCTCACTATCGGTCTTTATGTCCATTTTTCATTCATGAATATGCTAAGTATTTCGGCCTTCTTCATTGCATTGTTTATCCAATGTTCGTTCATTTCTTCTTTATTTTTTGATAATATTGTTTTTCTTATAGAAACTCCTCATAATCTTTAGTTGCTACCTTTGAGTGCTTATCTGCTATTGCATTTTCTATTACTGTATTTCTACTAAGTGCTCTAACTTAAGTTATTGTTCCTAATTCCTGCTTGATTATTTGTCGTTTTGATGTTGCAAATAACTTGAATTGTGTTATCCAGGTTTTTCAGGCCATGGGTACAAATTGGCGATTTGTGAATAATTCATATTCAGCACGAGTTATTGAAGATAGCATGTACTCGACCGCCTTCTGGATAGCTATGATTTCGGCCTTGTAATTGCTAGAATGTTCTGGCAGTTTGTATTTTTCACTACGTTTGGATATTGTTGTCTAGTTTTACGAACGCCACGTGTGTTTTTTTATTTTTGATCCATGTATATATATTTGATATTCTGCCGGTTCCTTCGCTGTTCCAAGTGGTATTTATTCATTATTTGCTAGGTAGTCTTGCTATTGATAGTAGTTTTTCATGATTTCATTTTCTGTATACACTACACACTGCCTCGTGAAATAATATTTCTTTCCTTGAGTAGGTTCAATTCGTTTTCTTTCCAACTGTCAAATGCAGTGGTTGCATTTCAGCCAAACAATTTAGTGAAAGGTTTCATGTTGATTCATGTTGATTTGTTAACAATAACAAAAGTCCCCTCTGAATTGCTTTTCACTTTTTGTTAAATATGATGTTTCTTTTGTATAGTGCTGGTGATAAATCCGTTACCATTTGCTCTGTACCCTTCTATATATTGTAAGAATTCATCGGACTTCATTTTTCTCCTCCGTAAATAACCATCATCAATCTTCGTGCCGTTCCTCTTTGTCATCAGCGCCATCTATTTGTTGCTTGAATGAAGCGTCAGCTGAACCGTGGTTTTTCAAGTAGTGGAAGCTACATCTCGATCCGTTCAACCTCTTTCCAACCAAACCAGATCCTGGAGCTCCGTTCGGAACGTCGCTTCCGCCACTAGAGCACCATGTCGCAAGAGCAAGCCTGACACAATTACCCACTGGCCCAACCACCCGCCGCCAATCCCCCACGGGATCCTCCATTCATTTCCTGTCTGCCTGGTATAGATCTCAAAAACTGGCTCTGCAACTGTGACCGTGTGGGTGTCTACAAAAACTGGAATAAGACATCAAAAATAGCACGCGTCAAGTTTTACATCCCTCAGGTTGCCAAGACGTGGTTACTAAATCACGATAGTGACTTCCGTGACTGGTCTTTCTTCAAAGACCAGCTCCGACGTATTTTTGGCACACCGACAGTTTGTTCGGAGGTTGCTGACTGGACTGGCTGGACGTGTCCAACATTGCGGTCAGTCCTACATAATTTTATTGAGGATGTGCTTACACTTCGCCACCATATTGACGACACCATCCCAGAAGGTGGTCGTGTCTAACGCCTTCTAAAAGGCATCAGACCTACCACTTTCAGCGCCCTCGCCGCGCACTACCCTGTGCCATCGATGAGCACAGTGAGCGAACCATCTCTACCAGCGCTCCCTCAAACAATTAAACTGCATCGTGACGTTGCACCTTGTTTGTTTCACATTATCGGCGCAGCTAGTGTACTGACTTTGTATACGTTTCTAG